AAAATATCTCCCACACCATTAAATCACCAACACCAGCCTGAACCGTTGATACAAGGCAGGATGGATCCATGCTTTCATGTTGTTGAGGCCAAATTCTGACCTGACCATCTGAATGTGGCAGCAGAAATGGAGACTCATCAGACCAGGCGACCCTTCTCCAATCTTCTGTTTTCCAGTTTTGGTGAGTCTGTGTGAATTGTAGCCTCAGTTTCCTGTTCTTAGCTGACAGAAGCGACACCCGGTGTGGTCTTCTGCTGCTGTAGCCCATCCGCCTCAAGGTGGGATGTGTTGTGTGTTCAGAGATGCTTTTCTGCAGGCCTCGGCTATAATGAGTTACAGTTGCCTTTCTGTCAGCTGGAACCAGTCTGGCCATTCTCCTCTGACCTCTGCATCAACAAGGCATTTGTGCCCACAAAACTGCCGCTCACAGGATATTTTCTTTTTTTCGAATGATTCTTTGTAAACCCTAGAGATGGTTGTGCGTGAAAATCCCAGTAGATCAGCAGTTTCTGAAATACTCAGACCAGCCTGTCTGGCACCAACAACCATGCCACGTTTAAAGTCGCTTAAATCAACTTTCTTCCCCATTCTGATGTTCAGTTTGAACTGCAGCAGATCGTCTTGACCTTTTGTCTACAGTACATGCCTAAATTTAATGAGCAGTTGAACAGGTGTACCTGTGTAATCATATATATATATATATATATATATATATATATATATATATATATATATATATATATATATATATATATATATATATATATATATATATATACATATATATATGTATATGTTATTTAGTCTATTACTTTTTGTCAGTGTCTGTCAGTCATAGTCTGAGTATGAAAAAATATGTATGCATAAATAAACACAAGAGAATCCAAACTAAAGCTGTATTGGAGTACGTGCGTGTGTACGTGCGTATACACATATGCACAAAAAAACTATTTGAAGAATGCTGGTTACAGACACCTATTGACATACATAGAAAGAAAAAAATACTTTATAAGTCTATCTATATGTCTCTATCTATCTATCTGTGTGTATAACAGAAGAAGGAAACACAAATTTGAACAAGTGAAGGGTGAATAAATGAAGAGAGGATTTTTATTTTTGAGTGAACTCTCCCTTTAATGTTCTCAGTCTGAAATGAATCAGTCACTATTATCACTAATATCATTCATGGTCTACAACAAGAAAGTCCATTTTGAACCATCACAAGTCTGAATAAACGATGCCAAGAAATGCCGTTTTCTATTTAATAATCAGTATTAAAATCTGGTGGCTTGGTGGTGGGCCAGTAAGAAACCACCTGGCAACCACATGCCAACATGTTAAAAACATTTAGCGGGCACATACTGTATCTTCAAGCTGGCGAGTCTTGAACTGGCACACACTGCTCTCATTGTCTCTCTCTCTCTAGAGTTTATAAGGATGGTTCACACACAAAATGTCATATCCCTGTTAATGTATTCACCCACAGGTCATCCAAGACTTTCTTTCTTCAGATTTTGAGCTGAATCCGTTGCACTTGGTGATTTATCTAATGGCAGTGAATAGTGGTCAGTGTTTTAGATTTAAAATAAACACATAGTGAAGTTAAAAATATTCGCCCTCCTGTTTTTTTTTTTTTTCCTCTACAAATGTTGATCAGAGAGCAAGGAATTTTTCACAGTATTTCCTATAATATTATTTTCTTCTGGAGAAAGTCTTATTTGTTTTATTTTGGCTAGAATAAAAGCAGTTTTAAATTTTTTTAACCCATTTTATGGTCAAAATTATTAGCCCCTTTAAGCTATATTATCTTTTGATTGTCTACAGAACAAACCATCGTTATACTGTGACTTACTTATTCAACAAACCTTAACCTTAAGCCGACAAATCTGCGGCAGCTGCGTGATGCTACCATGTCAATATGGAGCAAAATCTCTGAGGAATATTTCCAGTACCTTATTGAGTCTCTGCCACGAAGGATTAAAGCAGTTCTGAAGGCAAAGGGGGGTCCAACCCGGTACTAGAGAGGTGTACCTAATAAAGTGGCCGGTTAGCGTATATCTCGATGTATAATAACACAGTGTTTAATAAACCTTTATTAATTCAAATTAGTGCAAATAATAACCAGTCAAGAGCAGAATGTGATTCTCTTGTTGTTTCTAACTTCAATAATCATAATTTTATTTATTCATTGTTTGTTTGCTTGTTTGTTGTTTTATTTATTGCGTCCAGGCGCGCATCAAAAGCAACCAGAAAACAATCGTACATTGTCGCTTTTACATTTTAGTGTGAACTGTCCCTTTAAGACAGCAGCAGATATGGATTTGTACAGTAAGCGGCTTGAAGAACTGCGCTGTGTGTAGGTTTTTTTTCTGTATTTCCCAGCTCTTGCAGTGGCGGCCCACTCCTCCTGGAGTCTTGTAATGTGATTAAAGGCTATTAATCATCAAAGCGTGTCTCGCGGGACCCCCTGACTCACGGGCCGGGGGAAGAGCAGGGGCGGGACGTGTCAGGAAAGCTTTCAGTCGACACTCGCTGAAGATCAGGGTCACCTGCAACCCACAGACCCACAAAAATCTGAATATATACAGCACGTTTTAGAGTCGCCGTCTTTATTTAGAGTCAAACACGGATGATGATGTCCTCTGATGAGTTTCGTTGTTACTTGTTCAAACTACTTATTTCAAACGAGCTGAAATCACACAATTCTTGAGATTTTGTTGAAACAACTTAATGATTTTTAAACCAATTTTTACAAAATTAAACATAAAAAAAGTACATTAATGAATTAATTGATTTGTGTTGGTACAACATGATGGACTTGTATGAAACCCAGCATATTTTTTTTAAGTGAACACCACTCAATGTTTTAACAAATTTAAGTGGATAAGAAGTCATTTATTTGAGTGTGTCAGAATGAACAATACTATCAGAATGTGGAGATTGTCTGTGGGAAACGTTGTGGGTTTTATTGAGTCTGGCTTTGTTTTTATTTTTTTAAAGGTGTGTCAATCATAAGGGGCGTGGCTTTTGATTTTAGGGGCGTGTCTGTTAGTATTGATCTCAGATGCATATTGGCATTCACTCACTTTTTTTGCTGCTTGTTCAAATGTATTTTAAATGAGCTGAAACTACTTTTTTTTTGGGGGGGGGGACTTAATTGTCTTATGTTCAGTCCACTTTAATTTTTAAAACTATTAACTTAATTTTTTTATGTTGCCCCAACACAAATCAGTTGTGTGGAATCCAGCATTTTTACAGACTCATACACAAATGATGATGTCCTGCACTGTAAAACATGCAGAGTTTGACACAATTCCTTGTTGTCCCAGCATAACTTAATTAAGTTAACTTCATTGTTTTTTACAAATTTAGGTGGATTGAACATAAAACAGTTAAGTTGTTCCCCAAAAAATGTAAGAAGTCATTTATTTGAGTGTGTTAAAAATGAGCAATACTATCAAAATATGAAGATTGTCAGTGGGAAACGTTGTGGGTTTTATTGAGTCTGGCTTTTTTGTTTTTAAAGGTGTGTCAATCATAAGGGGCGTGGCTTTTGATATTAGGGGCATGTCTGTTAGTAATGATGTCAGATGCATGGTGGCATTTTTTTGTTGTTGTTGTTGTTGTTACTTGTTCTTATTTGCTATTGTTCTTACTTATTTAAAATAAGCTGAAAAACACAATTCTTGAGATTTTGTTGGAACAACTTATTTATTTTATGTTTAATCTACCCAAATTTGTAAACAAAATGATTAAGTTGACTTTTAGTAATTGTCTTGTGTTGGGACAACATAAAGGAATTGTATGGAATCCAGCATTTTTTTTTTTTACAGTGAACACCATTCAGTTAAGTTAACTTCATCATTTTTTACAAATTTAAGTGGATTGAACATAAAACAATTAAGTTGTTCCCCAAAAAACATAAGAAGTTATTTATTTGAGTGTGTTAGAATGAGCGATACCAACAGAATGTGGAGATTGTCAGTGGGAAATTTTGTGGGTTTTATTGAGTCTGGCTTTTTTGTTTGTAAAGGGTGTGTCAATCATAATGGGCGTGGCTTTTGATTTTAGAGGTGTGTCTGTTAGTAATGACAAACTACTTATTTAAAATGAGCTGAAACAACACAATTCTTGAATTTTGGGGAGGGACAAAATTCAAAACTATGTTTTTAACTATTTTAAACTATTAAACTCTTTTATTTAAATAATAAATATTTCTTTTCGCTTGACACTAAAGTAAACCACTGTTATACAGTGACTTTTATTAACTAATTAACCTACATTGCGTTGTTAACCTAATTAACCTAGTTAACCCTTTAAATTGCACCTTAAGCTGAATATTACACTGTAAAAATGCTGAGCTCCTCTCAGTCGGTTTGTGTAGGGACATTATGACAATAATATAAAGGAATTAAGCAAACTTATTAGTGTTTACTAATTCATGTGGATTGAACACAACACAAATAAGTTGTCAAACTCAAGAGTTGTGTTGTTTTAGCTAAATTCAAATACCTCCTTTCTCCTGGGGCGCCTAAAGTGCATGGGCTCTTATATTGGTCCTAAGTTCCCCCACCATGTGTGTATTGTTGTGGTCTGAGTGATTAAGGCTGCACAATTTAGAGAGGAAAAAAAATCTAATTGCAATTTATGTGATCAAAATTGTGATTTACGATTTAAAATGTGATTTAGGTTTGATTTGGTGTTTAAAGGTATTTAAGGTGGTGGTTTTAACAGCACCAAGGAAAGACCAAGCATCGTCACAAAATCCGCTTCTGTTTATTTAAAACCTCTTAAACATTGTTGACATCTTGTCCAATAAAGTTGTCAAGACAAACATTATCTGCGCTATTTTAAATTTTATTTAAATGAATTATATATCAAATCTTACAAATAAAGATATACAAAACCTTTACATTTAGTGTTACATGCTTGTTATCGTATTAAAAATGAATAATTGTTTAATATATTTGAATAATGATTGCTGGTGTGTTTGTCCACAGGTGGTGTATTTCACCGAGATGCACAAGATCTTCACTGAACTGAACGATCAGATCGATCAGAGCGCTCTGACGGATGAACAGAGGAAGCAGGAAAACGAAGCCAAACTCAACGAGTTGCGTTCGCTGTCCATCGTAGCTGACGACTGAGACGCCAAACCATCACCAGCGCAGCAGCTATTTATTCGTTACTTGTTGATTTTGTCTACTTTTGAATATTCCCACACACTAAAACAAAAATGGTTCGTTGGATTCACTACATTTGTTTTCTAAGGTAAGTGGTTGCAAACATTTTATATGGGCTGAATTTAAGCGCAAACACGTGAAATTTAATAATGTTCAACTTAATTTGTTTGTTTAAAATCAGCCGATATAAATTGTTTGCAACCACTGACTTGAGAAAACGTTAATAAATCCAATCAATCTGTTTTGTTCAGTGCAGATGAAGCCATCAGGAAACACTCATGAAAACATGTTCAGATTCACATATTAGCGTTTCGTTTTCTCCATTTATTGTTGTTGTGTTAGCGTTAGGTTTTCTAGTGTTGGTATTGATATTAATATCTGGTGTTGATATTGATAACTGATATTGATTTAGATAACTGATATTGATATTAATATCTGATGTTAATATTGATGACTTGTATTGATATTGATAACTGATATTGGTATTAATAACCAGTATTGATATTAAAAACTGATAATGATAACTGATGTTATTAATAATGGGTATTGGTCTTGATAACTAATATTGATATTAATATTTGACAATGATATTAATATTTGATGTTGATATAAATAACTGGTATTGATATTAAAACTATTATTGATAACTGGTATTGATATTGATATCTGGTATTGATATTGATAACTGATATTGATATTGATAACTGGTATCGATATTGATAACTGATGTTAATATTAATAACTGGTATTGATATTGATTACTGATATTGATAACTGGTATTGATATTGATAACTGGTATTGATATTAATAACTGGTAATGATATTGATAACTGATATTGATAACTGGTATCGATATTGATAACTGATGTTAATATTAATAACTGGTATTGATATTGATTACTGATATTGATAACTGGTATTGATATTGATACCTGATATTGATAACTGGTATTGATATTGATAACTGATGTTAATATTAATAACTGGTATTGATATTGATTACTGATATTGATAACTACTATTGATATTGATAACTGATATTGATATTGATGTCTGAAATTGATATTGATAACTGGTCTTGCTATTAATAACCAGTATCGGTATTGATAACTTATATTGATAACTGATATTGATATTGAAAACTGGTATTGATATTGATAACTGATATTGATAACCAGAATTCATTTTAATAACTGGTATTGATATTGATAACTGATATTGATAACTGGTATTGATTTTGATATTAATAACTGATATTGATAATCGGTATTGATATTGATAACTTATATTGAAATTGATAACAGGTGTTGATATTAATAACAGGTGTTGATATAAATAACTGACAGTGATATTAATTACTGGTAATGATAATTGATATTGATATCTGGTATTGATATTGATAACTGATATTGATATTGATAACTGGTATCGATATTGATAACTGATGTTAATATTAATAACTGGTATTGATATTGATTACTGATATTGATAACTGGTATTGATATTGATAACTGGTATTGATATTAATAACTGGTAATGATATTGATAACTGATATTGATAACTGGTATCGATATTGATAACTGATGTTAATATTAATAACTGGTATTGATATTGATTACTGATATTGATAACTGGTATTGATATTGATACCTGATATTGATAACTGGTATTGATATTGATAACTGATGTTAATATTAATAACTGGTATTGATATTGATTACTGATATTGATAACTACTATTGATATTGATAACTGATATTGATATTGATGTCTGAAATTGATATTGATAACTGGTCTTGCTATTAATAACCAGTATCGGTATTGATAACTTATATTGATATTGATAACTGATATTGATATTGAAAACTGGTATTGATATTTATAACTGGTATTGATATTGATAACTGATATTGATAACCAGAATTCATTTTAATAACTGGTATTGATATTGATAACTGATATTGATAACTGGTATTGATTTTGATATTAATAACTGATATTGATAATCGGTATAGATATTGATAACTTATATTGAAATTGATAACAGGTGTTGATATTAATAACAGGTGTTGATATAAATAACTGACAGTGATATTAATTACTGGTAATGATAATTGATATTAATAGCTGGTATTGATAATCGCTATTGATATTGATAACAGGTGTTGATATTAATAACAGGTATTGATATAAATAACTGATAGTGATATTAATTACTGGTATTGATAATTGATATTGACTACTGAAATTGATATCAACAACTGATATTGATTTTTAATATTAATAAGTGATATTGATTTTGATCCATCAAGAAACACTCATGAGAACATGTTCAGATTTGCATGTTAGCCTTAGAAGTTTCTCCATTTATGTTGTTTTGTTAGCGTTTGGTTCTTCTAGTGTTGTCAGATGGTTTTTGCCTTTATTTTCATTAGAACTGACCTGTGATCCATCCTGGAGTTGAACGATTTCCTGAGTTTTATCATCCACCAGAGGCCAAATTGATATTCCGTTTCTGATAAGCTCAAGTGTTCATACAGCTCATTCCTCTTTGTTCGGTTTCTGGAGTTGACTCTAATTCTGAGAAGGGTTTATTTCTGATCCTTTAAAGCATATTCAATTAGTGAAACACTGGATGATATTGATATTAATACCTGATATTAATATTGATTATTGGTATTGATAATGGTAACTGGTATTAATGACTGCTATTGGTGTTTATAATGGAAATTGATATTAATAACTGGTACTGCTATTGATAATAGATATTGATAACTGTAATTGATATCAATAACTGGTATTGATATTGATATTAATAACTGGTATTGGTATAAAAACTGATACTGATAACTGATATTGGCATTAATAACTGGTCTTGATATTGATCATTGGTATCGATATT